AAAAATGTAAATGTTCCAGACATAACTTTAATTTGATTTAAACATTAATTTACTTAACGAACAGGATTGACGTGTTAAACTCAACCACCTCAGTCAAAGATGATAAAACAATTATAAATATTCCAAAAAGAGAGACTTACTTCCTTTTCCACCATGCTGTTCAGAGGACCCAAATTATGTCACCTGCTGTGAATCATTTAACTTTGTGGAATGGTCCATTGTTTTAAAGTGGTAAATTGTACGCATAACAGGATTGGCCTTAAAATTTGTGACAGATGTAAATGCATCACTAATCACATAAATATAAATAATAATTTTCAGAAATGACTTTGTCAAAGCAGCAAAATAACTAGGCCTTTACAATAATGATGATGAAACTTGGATACATTTTTGGATTAAGTGGGTTGAAATCTTCCTAGAAGTGACACAGGGACATGTCAAAATGCTGAATTTTGGTACTTTACCATTTCAATATCGGTGCGTAATTTCTACTTTTAGAAATTATGCACCGATATTAGCTCAACTGTAGCTCAATTGGTAGAGCATGGCGCTTGTAACGCCAGGGTAGTGGGTTCGATCCCTGGGACCACCCAGACGTAAAAATGTATGCGCACATGACTGTAAGTCGCTTTGGATAAAAGCGTCTGCTAAATGGCTTATTATTATATTATTACTTTTAAATATAAAAGGGACGCAAAAAGGCACTCATTTCATGGAACGACCCACATACAGTGCATTTGGAAAGTATTCAGACCCCTTCACTTTTTCCACATTTTGTTACGTTACAGCCTTATTCTAAAATGGAATACATTTTAGTTTTTCCTCATCAATCTACACACTACCCCATAATGACAAAGCGAAAATAGGTTTTTAGAAATTTTTGCAAATGTATTAAAAATAAAAAAAACATACCTTATTTACATAAGTATTCAGACCCTTTGCTACGAGACTCAACATTTTGCTCGGGTGCATCCTGTTTCCATTGATCATCCTTGAGATGTTTCTACAACTTGATTGGAGTCCACCTGTGGTAAATTCAATTGATTTGGACATGATTTGGAAAGACACACACATGTCTCTGTATAGTCCCACAGTTGACAGCGCATGTCAGAGCAAAAAGGTCAAAGGAATTGTCCGTAGAGCTCCGAGACAGGATTGTGTTGAGGCACAGATCTGGGGAAGGGTACCAAAGCATTTCTGCAGAATTGAAGGTCCTCAAGAACACAGTGGCCTCCATCATTCTTAAATGGAAGAAGTTTGGAACCACCAAGACTCTTCCTAGAGCTGGCCGCCCAGCCAAACTGAGCAATCAGGGGAGAAGGGCCTTGGTCAGGGAGGTGACCAAGAACTCGATGGTCACTCTGACAGAGCTCCAGAGTTCCTCTGTGGAGATGGGAGAACCTTCCAGAAGGACAACCATCTCTGCAGCACTCCACCAATCAGGCCTTTATGGTAGAGTGGCCAGACGGAAGCCACTCCTCAGTAAAAGGCACATGACAGCCTGCTTGAAGTTTGCCAAAAGGCACCTAAAGGAATCTCAGACCATGAGAAATAAGATTCTCTGGTCTGATGAAACCAAGATTGAACTCTTTGGCCTGAATGCCAAGCATCACGTCTGGAGGAAACCTGGCACCATCCCTACGGTGAAGCATGGTGGTGGCAGCATCATGCTGTGGGGATGTTTTTCAACGGCAGGGACTGGGAGACTAGTCAGGATCGAGGGAAAGATGAACGGGGCAAAGTACAGCGAGATCCTTGATGAAAACCTTCTCCAGAGCGCTCAGTACCTCAGACTGGGGCGAAGGTTCACCTTCCAACAGGACAACGACCCTAAGCACACAGCCAAGACAATGCAGGAGTGGCTTCGGGACAAGTCTCTGAATGTCCTTGAGTGGCCCAGCCAGAGCCCGGACTTGAACCTGATCTAACATCTCTGGCGAGACCTGAAAATAGCTGTGCAGCGACGCTCCCCATCCAACCTGACAGAGCTTGAGAGGATCTGCAGAGAAGAATGGGAGAAACTCCCCAAATACAGGTGTGCCAAGCTTGTAGCGTCATACCCAAGAAGACTCGAGGCTATAATCCCTGCCAAAGGTGCTTCAACAAAGTACTGAGTAAAGGGTCTGAATACTTATGTAAATGTGATATTTCAGGGGGTTTTTAAAAATACATTTGCAAAAATGTCTAAACTTGTTTTTGCTTTGTCATAAAGGGGTATTGTGTGTGTAGAATGATGCGGGGGGGAGTGAAGGTCTGAATACTTCCCGAATGCACTGTATCATCAGTGACTAGGGCTAGGCTGACTTTCTAGACTGGAACTCTGTCAGACATGAGTTGAGTCTGGCTGAGACTGACTGAACCTGACATGTCATGTAAACTATTAACTTTTTAACTTCCTGCCTCAGGCCTGGGCCCCCAGTTAAACTGATATGACAAAGATTTTGTCACCATCACTGTGCAAAACTTCTCTGAATTGATGGGTGACCTCACTAGCGACTCTGCTGGCTGATGAGGAAGAAGCATTTCTCTCTGATCCATCTTCCTATATATTCCAGTCTAATGACACAGATGTATAACTCAATGCTGGGAGTGACCTTTAATACAATGGAGGGCATAATTTTCATCTACAGGCTCTATGTACAGCATTCTGTGTTCTCCTGCTGCTCCTATCCCTTTGTGAAATCCTGTATGTTACATAATCCAAGGAGCTTAATCTTTAGGCCAGCCTAAACGTCACCTTGCGCGTGTGTGTGTGTTTAGTCCTTACCACAGTGTTTTACAGGACCAGTATTTGGTGGCAATACTCCACCTGTATTGAGGAATAACTCACTAACATGATGTTAACACTAGCTCAGTGTGACTATTGAGAATTAGTTTGGCAATGAATCCAGTCAACAGACACAACAACAGAAGGATTCATCCTGAGGTATGTGACATTGATAGGAGAAGACGTATCCAGACTATGACTCATAGGAAGAGGACGCGAGTGTGTGAAGGTCTTGTCTGGCATTCCTCCTCCTCTCACTGAGTGTGTCTGTGGTCTTTATTATGGTGAATGTGAAGGGCTGAAGAAGACCCCACTCTCTAACCATCGGCTGCCCCTCATTACCCCTCTTCTCCCATTTTGATATGCTTCTGACGCACTCGGGGCAGTGTGGAATCCCAGACATCTAAACAAGCCTGCATCAAATAGGCTAAGACACATGCATACTCCTTCATGTACACATGGATAGAGTGCAATCTATTACACACACCAATTATACATACAAAAATATAAAAGGCATATAGGTGAACATTAGCACCAATCACAGATAACATCTCAACACGTATGTTTTACACAGACAACCATATACACACATACATGCTGACATTTAGTTACAGCCCTGCACATATGTCTACATGCAGTCACACCCTGATGCATGTGTGCATTTAAACTCTGTCACTTCTATTCAAATTCAAATGATCTAATTCTGGGCGCCTCACTGACGTCATACGAGACAATGCATTTCATCACAACAGACAGTACACTGTCCCCCCTTCTACTGCCCTGTCACAGTAGCACTGTGGTGTGTTTTCAGTTAACACTTTCAGCCCAATAACCCTCAGGCTATGGAAGGGTAAAGCTAAACTAAGATTCTGATTGCTCCTTTCATTTGGATAAATTATGTTTCTGATCTAATCTACATTTTGCCTAACCTCTTCTCCATGCTACATGTTGCCTAACATACTTGGCTAGGTTTTAAAAAACAAACAATTACTCACTTTGTTTAAGTTTGTTAAATCTTCCTGGCAGGTCCATTTGCTACTGTTTGTATGGATTTTAACATCTACTTGATAAACAGTCTTTCATTGTGTTTGGTTTCTGTGACATTCCCTTGGCAGGACTTGCTGCATTATTTAGTATAGTGATTGTCTTGGAGAATAAACTGATTAATGTTTAACCTGTCAGTGATGGTGGATACTTTATATCAGGTGTGTCAAACTCATTCCATGGAGGGCCTAGTGCAGGGATCATCAACTAGATTCAGCCGTGGGCCGATTTTTAATGTTTTTTGTTTTTGTTTTTTTTGCGGATGGTCAGGGGGCCGGAACATAATTAGGCAATAAGTCCAGAGAGGGTGTGGTATATGGCCATTATACCACAGCTAAGGGATGTTCTTATGCACGACGCAACTCGGAGTGCCTGGATACAGCCCTAAGCCGTGGTATATTGGCCATATACCACAAACCCCCGAGGTGCCTTATTGCTATTATAAACTGTTTACCAACATAATTAGAGCAGTAAAAATACATGTTTTGTCATACACGTGGTGTACAGTCTGATATACCACGTCTGTCAGCCAATCAGCATTCAGGGCTCGAACCACAGTTTTTATTATAAATAATTTTTAACAAATTGACTGCAAGAAGCCCAAACATATGTTTGACTGAAACATAATCATTTCAAACCTTGCTTACATTTTTATTATTTGTGGGAACACTTGGGAACAGATTTCTTAAATGGAAATCACTTGGAGCTCATTTCCTGGTGTTTTTACAGCCTTTTATGTCCAACAATGAACATTTAAAGAAAATATTCGGCCCGCGGGCCAGTTAGACAGCCCAGGCTTAGTGTCTGCTGGTTTTTGGTTTTTCCTTTCAATTAAGACCTAGACAACCAGGTGAGGGGAGTTCCTTACTAATCAGTGACCTTAATTCTTAATATTCTTAATTATGTTCTTTTACTTTTTAGATTTGAGTGTGTTAGATATTACTGCACTGTTGGAGCTAGGAGCATAAGCATTTAGCTACACCCGCAATAACATCTGCTAGATATGTGTATGCGACCAATAAAATGTGATTCGATTTTCATTCATCAATCAAGTACAAGGGAGGAGCGAAAACCCGCAGACACTTTGCCCTCTGTGGAATTAGTTTGACACGTGCATTATACGATCATATTACATTGAAAATGTTAAATTAAACAACACGGTTTGTTCTAATGCATACCTTTCTCAAAGCCTTATTTTATTGTTCTTCTCTTTACCTTTACCCAGGTTGCCATTAAGTCCATCAGAAAGGAAAAGATCCAGGATGAGCAGGACCTAGTGCACATTCGCAGAGAGATTGAGATCATGTCCGCACTCAATCACCCCTACATCATCACCATATATGAAGGTACACACATCTGTGTCTCAAATCCCCACTAGGAGCACTTTCACTTTTTAATTTAATTAGCTCTTTATTTAGATAGGGAAGTCACATTGAGACCCAGGTCGCGGTCAGCCCTGTTGGTTTTACAATAGTCACGCACTGATACAGTAGTAAAACTTCTCGGGAACAAGACAGTAAGATGTGATCAAATTGCATATGCGATGAAACGTGACACCAGAATAAGATGTTTTCACACTGAACTCTGTGGAGCACACGTCTTCCAGCAGAGTCTGGTCACGCAAGGCTTTGTTTGACATTGACCTATTCTTGGTTACATTACCTGCTGCAGTGCCCTCCGAGCTTCCCAATTCCCATCACCACTGACGTGTTGTCCCTGTAACAACCCATCCCGCCTACGTTGCTGTGTACCTTTGTCTGACAGTTCTCCCCCTGTGTGTTTTTCTGTGTGTGGCCTCGCAGTGTTCGAGAACAAGGACAAGATTGTGATTGTGATGGAGTATGCTAGCCGAGGTGACCTTTACGACTACATCTCTGAAAAGCAGAGGATCTCAGAACGTGAGGCCAGACACTTCTTCAGACAAATCGTGTCAGCTGTACACTACTGCCACAGGGTAAAGCATTGTCAACTGTACACTACTGCCACAGGTTAAGGCATTACATCTCTATTAGTCTGTCTTGACAGAGTATGAGATTTGGTTCTGAGATTAGCCTACATCTCTGTCCACTTGTTTAGTATTTACACATAGTGGTCTCATATAATTACAGCCATCTTTTTTTGTTTTCTTAAATCAGCCGAAACAAATCTCCATCAGTGCCCACAACTTGCTGTACCTCGTGGGCAGATTTGTGACGGGCACACAGGGACAGTAAGTAGGCAGGGAACCCCACTAGCCTGCCTGCTCATCAGCCTCCTCCCTAGAGTGCTGGCAAAGCCACCCTGGCAGTTACATAATGGGCATTATTCACCGTCGGCCAGCTCTGAAGGGTGAAATGAACCGTTAGGTTTATGGAGAGCCAGCGTCAGGGCCAAAGGCCACTGGTCTCAACACAAGCACACATACACACCCTCTCTCTGTCTCTCTCTCTAATGAGGATGCGAGGGAACAGACAGGCTCTGTGAACACACATACACATAGACAAACACACATGCGCACACACACATCTAATCGTTACTCCCCCAGGGCCCATAGTAGTGTTACAATCCCTGTGTCTAGAGTACATGGTTTAATAGTATACTGTTTTTCTGTACATTACAGTAAGAACCACTTAGGCCTGTTCTCTGTGAGAGGTAGGAAGAGTTTAGTACCATATTAAACCAACCTGAGTTGACAAAGTGAAGGAAATGGGCCAGTAAAAGGCTCTCTCTCTGCTACCCAGCTGTCTATTCTGTTTGTCTTTTGTCAGATATGTCAATACTTTTGGTACTTTATTGCTATTTGAGCTGTATAAAATTGCTCTTAGGCTGGTTGTTTAGTGGTAGAATATTGTTGGTCCAATAAAATGTGGTTCCTCATTAAATAAACTATTTTGTATTATCAATTTTATATACTGTACATTTAGAACCAAATGTATATCAAATCAATAAGTAGTATGTTCTGAACCCTTTTACAGTTACTAAAAGCATTATTCTATGTTCACTGGCTCTTGTATGTTTTCTTTACCTCATTGCAACATCAAATAAAAATGGAAATTCAGAATAGTTACATTTTAAACAAATTCTTGAGTGATTCTAACAGGAGTTGCAAGACCAAACTAGTTTGACCTGCATCAGAGGCATGCCCCCCCCTGTAGAGTGGAGGACAATGGAGCATAGCTGACATTCCAGAATAATCTTCTGTTGGAACAACCTCTGTTCTGACCCAAATGCTCAGAGGGCTTCACTCTTTTTATCTTTTTTTTTTTTCTTTTTTTTTACGCATTGTGGGCAAATAGCAAAGACTCATATCAGCCATCTTAGGTGTCAACTGTGTCAACATGAAGACCTTAATAGTTTATCTTCTTCCCATCACACAGAATGGGATAGTGCATCGGGACTTGAAGCTGGAGAACATTTTACTAGATGGAAAGGGCAATATTAAGGTATGGACAAAGGGCTACTGTGTCTCAACACCTGTGACAATCTACAATCTTTAGCATTTGCACACCTGAGGCATTCACACATAGGTCACTCTCATACATGCACAGTTCACACTGCAGTGTTGCTTGGAGAATTTACACATTAACAACTCTCACATACTGGTGGCAAACGATTCCTGTCATCCACTCCAATTCGGTTCTCTCTACTTTCACTTGTTTGTAGTTCCTAGTGTTCATTGATTAGTGATTGTACCTAATGGCAAACTTCTATTTGAATGTTGTTCCAGATTGCTGACTTTGGGCTGTCCAACCTGTACCGTGGTGATGAGTACCTGCAGACATTTTGTGGCAGCCCTCTGTATGCTTCTCCAGAGATTGTTAACGGGCGGCCGTACAAAGGGCCCGAGGTGGACACCTGGTCTCTGGGAGTTCTGCTCTACACCCTGGTCCACGGGGCCATGCCCTTCGATGGGCAAAACCACAAGAACCTGGTCCAGCAGATTAGCACTGGAAACTACCGCAAACCCACCAACCCTTCAGGTGAGCCTTTTACAGAGTATAGCCTCTCCTAACTGGGATGTAGGTCTGCCTTGTAGTGGTGTGTGTTTTAGTTATACAGTTGAAGTCGGAAGTTTACATACACTTAGGTTGGAGTCATTAAAACTTGTTTTTCAACCACCATTCTTGTTAACAAACTATAGTTTTGGCAAGTCGGTTAGGACATCTACTTTGTGCATGACACAAGTAATTTTTCCAACAATTGTTTACAGACAGATTATTTCACTTATAATTCACTGTATCACAATTCCAGTGGGTCAGAAGTTTACATACACTAAGTTGACTGTGCCTTTCAAACAGCTTGGAAAATTCCAGAAAATGATGTCATGGCTTTAGAAGCTTCTGATAGGCTAATTGACATTAATTGAGTCAATTGGAGGTGTACCTGTGGATGTATTTCAAGGCCTACCTTCAAACTCAGTGCCTCTTTGCTTGACATCATGGGAAAATCAAAAGAAATCAGCCAAGACCTCAGAAACATAATTGTAGACCTCCACAAGTCTGGTTCATCCTTGGGAGCAATTTCCAAACGCCTGAAGGTACCACGTTCATCTGTACAAACTATAGTACGCAAGTATAAACACCATGGGACCACGCAGCCGTCATACCGCTCAGGAAGGAGACGCGTTCTGTCTCCTAGAGATGAACGTACTTTGGTGCGAAAAGTGCAAATCAATCCCAGAACAACAGAAAAGGACCTTGTGAAGATGCTGGAGGAAACGGCATGTGCGAGCAAGGAGGCCTACAAACCTGACTCCAGCTCTGTCAGGAGGAATGGGACCACATTCACCCAACTTATTGTGGAAGGCTACCCGAAACGTTTGACCCAAGTTAAACAATTTAAAGGCAATGCTACCAAATACGAATTGAGTGTATGTAAACTTCTGACCCACTGGGAATGTGATGAAATAAATAAAAGCTGAAATAAATCATTCTCTGTACTATTATTCTGACATTTCACATTCTTAAAATAAAGTGGTGATCCTAACTGACCTAAAACAGGGAATTTTTACTAGGATTAAATGTCAGGAATTGTGAAAAACTGAGTTTAAATGTATTTGGCTAAGGTGTATGTAAACTTCCGACTTCAACTGTATCTTATTGTAGCCCAGCAGAGCTGTATCAGTTGTAAATACTGGTGTATGTTCTTCCTCCGTGTCTCAGATGCCTGTGGGTTGATTCGCTGGATGTTAATGGTGAATCCAGAGCGCAGAGCTACCATAGAGGAGATCGCTGGACACTGGTGGCTCAACTGGGGTTACCAGAAACCCCTACTGGCCGAGAGTGAGAACGCGACATTGCTACAACCAAGTGAGAAGACCTCTGCATCCACACAGCAGTCTGGAGGCTTTGCAAGCATTGCCAGTTGGCTGCGTCGAAACTCCCGGCCTTTACTGGAGAACAGCTCCAAGGTGCGCTGCCTGCTGCGGTCCCACGGGAGCGGTGGAGTGGACGTGGTGCGTCAGCGGTCCCTACGGAGGTCACGCAAGGAGAACAACGTCTCCCAGACAATGAATGATGGGGCCACCGCTCGGCCCTCCAAGGGCATACTGAAGAGACGAGGTAGCCTGAAGCAGAAAGCCCTCAGCGAGGCTACAACCCCAGTGATAGAGGAACCAGTGAGGGACTATGAACTCTCCACCCCAGCCCAGCCCCCACCTGTTGCATCGCTGCCCCGCAAAGGCATCTTGAAGAAACCAGCCGAGCGAGAGTCTGGCTACTACTCTTCCTCCCCAGACAGCAGTGATTCTGCCCAGACACCCCAGGCCCAGCTCTGCCCCTCAGCCCCGCCCCACCGAAAGGGCATCCTGAAGCGCCACGGCAAGTTCTCTTCAGGCGGCTTGCAGGAGTTTGGGTCTCTGGACCAGCTGGTGGCCTCCCTGCCAAGAGGGAGCACCAGAGCACGACCCAGCGGGGCAATCAGCGAGGACAGCATCCTCTCCTCAGAGTCCTTTGACCAGCTGGATCTGCCTGACCGCGTGGGGCCAGCGGCACCCAGCGAACGCCCAGCCAAGGGCACCATGAGAGGCTGCGTGTCCGCTGACAACCTCCTGGACATCCGAGAGGAGGGGCTTGGGCAAGACCTGCTGAGGCAGAGAGGACCCTGGGACATGGCCTGTTATCAGTCTGGGGTGGCTGACAGCGCTTTCTCCATCACAGACTGTGAGAATGTGACAGAAGCCTACAAGCATGCCATGGTGATCGGAGGAGTTGCAGCCAGCTGAGGACCAGCAAGTGTCCAAGGACCGTATAATACAGCATTCTCAAAGGACACAGAGACTGAGGCAGTTGTGTTTAAAGTTGGCTGACAACTGAACACATTTGTGGTAATGTGTGACTTGATAGCCAAAGTGGTATAGGAGAAGTGAGTAGCTACAGTAGCCACTCGTGATGTGACATTGTTTTGATGCAGTCCTACTTGACCAAAAACAGTCTAGCAAAGGGAGAAAGAATCTAGGCTCATATCAGACTCATTGCTAGTTTAGACAAACATTGTAAAATAAATGCCTTTCAATTAGCTAACTAAATCAGAGGTTTGAGATATTCCCATTTTTTTGTTTATTTGCCAGGGATATCCTGTTCAATACAATAATGTTTTCAGTCACTAAATGTCAGAATAACAGAGGTTAGTTAGTGTTTTTCAAAAATATTGGTAGCTGTTAATTGTGACATTTTGTCTGGATCAAGTTCCAATTGGCTTTGGGGGTTTTTCAATGTTGACTTTTGGATTTTGATTTCAAAATGTAGCATTTTTGTTCAAGGTTTGAGGGAATTGACAGTTCAATACCAAAGATAAAATGTGAAAACAACATGTTGAGCACTATTTTTTCTGTTCAATCACCATGTTAATAAGACAGGTTCATCTGGGCCTGCAGAGCTGAATTCTACTACTGACTGTTATGATTCAACTTTTAGAACTGGAATTTATTTACACCTGGAGAGATGACTCACAATAATAAGTAAAGGTAATAATGACTTAAATGACATCATTTAAGTGGCAATCTGTAGTTGGTACATCCATTATTAGACTTTTAAATTAATTAAGAATATAACTTATAGATGCCTCATCAGCTTAGTTCAACTGTCGTACCCCATCAGAACCCAAAATATGAGTTTGTTATACTCCTTTGTTTTAAACAATGTATAGTCTCAAACCATGGTTAAAACTATAATCTTTAAATCATGGATGGTCTCTCCCTGTATACATAGCTCTGTACATTTTGAGTGGTTACATTTCTCCAGCCCCACCCCTCAGCTGTTTACCGGGTTACCGCTTTGTTATTGTTTAAACTGCAGATTGCTCCTTTAAGCAATGAGGCACACTAGCAAGAACGTGTAGAACCTGCTTCTATTCTATTCAGCCTAAGTTTACTCAGTGCATTTCACATGAAAAGGGGGGTTTACAGTAAATGTTAAGTACCTCAGTCTTTTGGCGGGTTAAGTATTGCAGCAGTATTCCAGCAGTTCTCTAGAACTAAACCGTGATCTGTAGCATGTGTGGTAACTAGTTAATGTGTAACCTCCCCAGACAGTGAACTGAAGAACTAGTCCAGACCGATACATGTGACATTTTTATGAGTTGATTAATTTACAAGGATGGGTCTAAAGGTGCGTTTCGGTTTCCCGGTAACAGCAGGTGGCCAAAGACTGGTATTTGTGACTTTATGATGTGCCCTCTGGGCATTTCAAATCAAATTGGATTCCAGCATTTCATGATAATGACCAGGATTGATTCAATTTATTCTGTTTTTAACACCTTAAAACATTATTAATGCTATTAAAAACTGTGCCTAGGAGCTGCTCAATCAGACTATTGAAACCTGATAATTATATAAAATGTTTCAGGGTTCACTTGAATGTGGAACAAATTGCACATGATGCTTCGCACATGGGGCTACAACATCAAGTTGCTGTTCAATGACTGGAATGTGGTGATTTCTTATTGTTGGTTTTTAATAGGTTGCTTTTAGATTGATTTAACACTGTAGGGGTAAAGGGGAAATAGAACTCTTGGTTTTATTAGTATACAAGAGCGGTCAACAATGGAGGTTAAAACGCAAAGATATTCACACGTTGATGCTCAAACAGATTCAGGTGATTTTTCAGTATTATACAGGAACTACAAACCTTTCATACAGTTCCATTAAGTGACCTAATTGCGTTTTTGTCAGTTGTTAGCCAACTCATGTCAACAAAACCATAAAAATATGTTGTCATGTTAATAGATACAGGTAAATCTAAGCAATTATGTTTTTCATGAGTGGGACGTGATCCATGTTTGCCCGGCTTATCTGTCAGCTTGTGCTCTGTCCCACTGATCTGACTTGGCCCAGTGAATCATAAAAAAATAAACTATACCCATATGAATGATTCCTTCATTGTCTTTGACCTCGTTTGGGGCATTTATGGTAGTTGTGGCATTACTATTGATTTAGTAGGCTGATTATGGTAGAACGCTGATACCAGAAAACAATGCATGGCATTGTTTGTGCTTATCAAACTCTGCTGGCATTACCCAACATCTAGAGGTGTATTACAACACTCGTAACAGTCTTGAGTGACTGATGTTTGCAGGATGAGAGAGATGTCAGAAGGGGTACTAAATACAACTCCATGAAAAGCAGCATTTTTATAATTCATAATGTATTCAGAGAACACCGCTCACACAGTGCAAACATTGAAATGGAAATTCAGTGTAATACTTCTGGCAATATCACAAATAGCATGTTTAAGATAAAAAGATACCCCTCTGTGGTAACTTCAGAGAGCAGTGAGAAACGGTGTTCCCTGACGCTAGCGACAGTAACTTCAAAATTTTAAAACGTCCTTAAAAAACCTTAGCAGCAACAGCATAGCAACGACAAAGAACTCAAACACACTGTAAAATGTAAACAGAAAAAAAACTTTGGACATTTTAGCAAAAGATCTCCACAATTCATTATGTGTGAACACCGTATTGCTTATAAGACATGTTTCTTCTTATCACATACATTCTTTGTTTTAGTGACTGCCAAAAATAGTCTTACGGGGTAGTTAAGACGCCTGTCTCATTATAGTCACTACAGTATAAATAAGCCCCAGTCATTGTTAAGAGAGCAGTTAAAGTGATTGTCTGCATGGTGTCATCTCTAGCCCAGTGGTGACAGGTGTACGTCCTGGATGTCAGTGGGAGTGTAGCTGACCTCTGGGCCGGGCGTCCCTGAACGGCAAGCCCCTGGTGCCTGGGGGCAGGGGGGCAGGCTGAGCTCCAGCACACCCTCCAACTGGTCAGAGCAGCAGCAGAGAGACTCCTGTTTGGGGACAGCGCCATAAAGAAAGAGTCTAAGCTGAAAAACATCAATCTCCAGAGTCCTCACCAACCAAGGCCCAGAGAAAACAATGACATTTGTACTATTTGTTTCAAAACCAGTCTGCTTGCTTCCTTGAATAAAGGAGGCCTTTTTTCTGCAGACAAACAAGAAAACAAGGAGGAGCCAGACAAACAAGGAAAATACAGGCATTTGCTTGAAGAGGAAACAGACAAGGTTAAAGAAGGAGCAGCAGGTTTCTAGTTAAATATTCGCCTCACCAGATCAATGGCCAAGATGTTGGCTAGCAACTGCATGAGTGAATCATTGGATAGAGCTCCTTCCAGGAGCTTCAGTCTGCGAATGGCAGCGCCCACACTGGCACAGGCAATAGTGGAGGGCAGGAACACAGAGAATTTAAACTCTAAAGGCAGGGTGATAAACAAGAGATCAGCAGAAAAGTAATACCTTTAGGTTTGACCAGTCTGTTATACTAATCTGCTTAGATGACAGAGCAATTGTCAGACCCACTTTGTGGACAAGGAACATAATACCAGGTGTGCAACAGAAATTAATTTCTTAACAATTGGGAGTTAGTGGTTTGGAGCAGACATCGTTAATCCCTGAGGCAGGATGCCATAGGAGTAGAGGAATGCCGCCCTGACAGACAATAGGAAGTGCTTAAAGACGGTCATTTCCCAAAACCTGAAAATCTAACACTTTAACCCAATGGCTCCAGGCAGGAAAGACGACGAGACAATTAATCAATCTCAGGCAATCCTCTCACCCACACCTCATAGAATAGGTTTCAAAGTCAGGAGTCAGGAATGGGCCGAATCCAGATACAATAAAACAGCCTATTCAAAATGGCCCTGACTGTATCCCAGTGACTGGTTGCCTCGGGCAACCTCGTGGGAGATTCGTGGGAAATCAGGCAGTTGAATGGACGGGCATGGGTCTTTCACACCGCACAATACAGGATTACACAAACTCAGCCCACCCCCCCTACCCCCAAATGAACCGCTGACACATCGTAATCAAAGTTATGGTTGCTGTGTGCCCTTTGTTTGCCTCACACAGAGCCACTTGATTTCTTTGAATAAGTGAAACACAAGCTATTATTAATCAAAGAAGTGCCATGCACAACCTATCATATAGAATAACAAAGAGATGTTTGTTTTTCTATGATACTTGACGTGTAGGCCTAAATGTTTCTGCATTGCTAGAAGCAACAATCACACCGCCATGAGTTACACAATGTCTGACCCTACCTGTGGCTGCCAGTGCAATGTAGGAGTGGACATGCCTGCGCAAGGCATGGAGGTTGTGAGGGATTATGGGTATGCCATGAAGAATTTGCTCCAGGAAGTCAGAGGGTAACACAGAAGCCAGGTCCCACTCTAACCCTGCCACCACCACAAGTTCCCACTGCTGCAAAACAGACACCCACACATTACATTAAATCCATCATAAGCTCCAACTGCTGCATAACAGATAAATACATATGTAGGCTATTACATTAACATAAAACAGGCTCCTACTGACTGAAAAGCAGAACAGAGAACTGAAATTACAGTGTATTCAACCTGCTATTACGAAGTAATAACACACTTATTGACGAGTCAAAGTGCATCAAATGTATCAGCCATTTTATTATACTTATGGCAAAAGCAAATGGAACTTGTAAACAAATCTTGTGTTTACCAGGAGCTCTGACACTGTAATTGCATTGTCAGTGTAGATGCAGAGCTTGCTGGCACTCAGGGGTACCGTCTCTCGCAGTTTTGAGGCCAGGAACATGCAAACAGCACCTAAAAGCTGCAGGTTGGACCTTTGAACAGGGAAGCGACTCAAGTAACAGTCCAGATAGTGGATGGCCAAAGGAAACACCTCTTCCTCACACTTCTGCTCCTCGCAAACCTGTTGGAGGAAATAAGTTTGTTAAACAACGATAAGTAAGGACTGCACTGGTTTCGTGGATAGATTTGTTTCTATACACATGCATATGTTTTCTTGTAGCTTTTTTGTACTGTAGTCCTCCAATGTGTCTCTCTTTTGGTGTTAGTATTTTACCCAATCAGTCCAAGAGAGTCCCTCTTGCTTTCAGGTGCAATGTAGGCTGATGAGTGCATTAGCTACATAAGAAAGCGAACTGAGACAATTAAACTTGGATGACGGTGTTGCAGTGGCATGATGGTGGTCAATGAAAGAATTACATCCAATTTGACAGCAAAATCCTATCACAATTACCACTAACCGTGACCTGAATATTATGTAATTCATTTTGGATATTTTGTCATACATTACCTGTAGCATCCATACTGCCAATATTCTCCGCATATATGGCTGAATGTCTGTCTGAATCGTGCCGAAGTATGATGGTGAGGCCCGACTGGTCTTTTCCAGTGACAGAAGGTTCTGCAATGTTCGATGGTCCCGTGTCAAGGTCGGGTCAGAGCTGGCCCGAAGAGCAGTGGAATTCATATATTCGGTGGTGCTTTCTGAGGCGTCTTGGAATTGTCCATCCTCGTGACACAACAACTCCATTAGAGGGTTGTTGGACAACTTTTGTAGGGTCTCCCTCAGTTAGCAAAGCTTAGCTAACAAACTCAATACGTTAATTGGCGTTGCGAAGACGTTTCTACCTCTGCCCCCGTCTCAGCTAGCTAGCTAACAGAGCAGAAAGTGAATGTATTTTGTCTTGAGTTGTCAAATAGTAGGTCGGGTACCTTTCCTCTAATTCACATTACTTTAATTCGCTAACGTTATATATGTTAAATCTAACGTGCTGAAGCAAGTGAGGTAGCTACGAGTTCTAGCTAGCTGCGAAACCCTATGCACCGTGGGAATTTCTCAAACGCGGCTCGTGCTGTCACAACCTTGCAGTCATCTGGTAGGCCAGGCCAGGGTACCTAGCATCTCTGTACTGAATGGGGCAAAACAATTCTGGCCTTTTTTGTGGATGGTAGCAATACAACTAAAGACATTTTACTTTAAACCACTAAAAACCACTAAAAAAAAACACTAAAAAAACAATTCAATTTATTCAAAAACATGTCAAAAAAATTTTTTTACAGTAACACTTTAATAGTCAGTGCAAGGCCATTGTGGCGGTTTCCAGATCACGGGACTCCGGGTTCTGCAGCTCCTGACGGATCTCTGCAGAAATCTGGGGGGGTGTCTGCAATTTAAGCAGCTCCAGCAGTGCAGCCTTCTGTTCGGAGGCCAGGTCGGCCTTGTAGCGCTGCGCCAGGGTGAGCAGACTTTGGTGCCACAGCACAGGAAGGACACGACCAGGGCATCCAGGACACGGAAGGGCAGGGCGTATTTCTTGTCCAGTAAGAGTCGCAGGAAGATGCTGTTGACTCCATTGTGCTCCATCTCTGCCAGTTAGAGCATGGCAGCACTGCAAAAAAAGAATCAAAGTAATTTGTTTACTGCTTACAGCATTCTTTCCACAGAGGACAAGTTGTGGCAAGCCCTGCTGTTAAACTACCTTTAATACAGTACCATACATTCACATGAATTTACACTTACATGATCTGCGATAGAAGCTGCCACGCTTAAACACCAAGTCCCTAACCAAAGCGGCAAGCCGAGCAATCACATTAGGGCATCATAGATCATACAAAATTGCACACATAACTCAGGTAAAAGAGTCTCTCTTACCTGGAATGCAGTACAGGGATTGAGCACTTTGAGTATGCTGCCAATGATGATAGCCTCCCTGAGAGTGCATGTTCCAGATTCACAGAGCGGGATCAGGATGACTGAGTGAGAAAGAGCCAATGTGTGAACACACATCCAGTGACACATGAAACATATGCTGGGTTTAGAGTTAAAGTCGTTAGTTGAAACAAATATTGATAAAATATTGTACAACACATGTTAAATAGATCATGGTTGATCATTGTTATTTACCTTGAGATAAACACTCAAGCTAAGGTAAAGTATCATAGTTTTTTTTATTGGTAAGCGTCAGCTTTTTTGACCCCTCAAACCCTTGCTTTCTTTACTAAGGAACCAAAATAACAGTATAAATCGGGTTAAATCTGCGATCTGATTAGACAATACTGCCACTTAGTGGCAACGACTGTCTTTTTTGGCTGATTGCCAACATGCACTCAAAACAAAATCCAGTATATAGTGACTATATAATCCTCCTGAGTGGCGCAGTGGTCTAAGGCACTGCATCGCAGTGCTAGCTGTGCCACTAGAGATTCTGGTTCGAATCCAGGCTCTGTCGCAGCCGGCCGCGACCGGGAGACTCATGGGCAGCGCACAATTGGCCTAGCGTTGTCCAGGGTAGGGGAGGGAATGGCCGGCAGGGATGTAGCTCAGTTGATAGAGCATGGCGTTTGCAACGCCAGGGTTGTGGGTTCGATTCCCACGGGGGACCAGTATGAAAAAAAAAAAAATGTATTCACTAACTGTAAGTCGCTCTGGATAAGAGCGTCTGCTAAATGACTAAAATGTAAATATAGATACAAATGTTGAATGCCTGACAGCAAAATGTGTATCATTTTAATTACTTTCATTCCACATTATTACATCCTAGCAACCATAAATCTGATTATCAACCAAGTTTTCAGATGATCTACCTGACTATTTCTCTCCTGTTTAATACACGCTCTTGATTTGTCTCATCTTTGAACCATGACCCTGGCTTGAAAATACCTTTCTTCAGGGCCATGTACAGGAGGAGGTTTAGTTTTTTATACTCTGCAATGTCATCTCGTATCCTTGGCAGTAGCACCAAGTTGTAGAACAGATGGTCCATTTGCTTCTTCGAATTGAATGAGAAGTTTCTGTTCAGAAAGAAGACAAATCAGAGTTGGTCATGAATATTCATAAGGTGCCTTCTAATAATTAAATAAACGTTACTGATAGAAGTTAACAAAGCGTCCTCTTAATTTTTATAACATTTATATTTTGTTGCCTGGTACATAGCAGGACCAGTCCAGGTCTCAGGCTCTGTTAAGTACAGAACCTGCTCCCAGTTTGACAGTGCTGGAACAATCTTGAAAGCTTTGGGCAGCTTGCCACTGCGATATCTAGATAGAACCTAGAGCAACAGAGAAAAACAAGTTTATAATATCAGTTGGTAATATTCAGCATCTGACTGTTCTGACTGAAATCTGATGAAGTGGAAAATTACATGTGGCCAAGCAAATGAATACAGCATGGAGCAGGTGCACGGCTTACCTTGTTACCCTGTAAAATTATGCATGGTAGTGTTGTCATTATATTCTATGGCATCTATACTGATCAAAAATATAAACTGAGTTACAGTTCATATAAAGGAAATCAGTCAATTGAAATAAATGCATTAGGCCCTAATCTATGGATTTCACATGTCTGGGAATACAGATATGCATCTGTTGGTCACAGATACCTTTTTTTTAAAAGGTAGGGGCATGGATCAGAAAACCAGTCAGTATCTGGTGTGACCACCATTTATTTGCCTAATGCAGTGCAACACATATACTAGAACGCGCCAATAGGACATCGCTAGTGCGTGATTGGCTCTGCCCATTTCTTTGCTTGTTCTGCCCACTATGACTCATTTGTTCCCATTGGAAACGACAAGCTGTGGTCTATCTTGGTTTAGTTTTTCTTTTCAGGAACTGTTGTGACTAGACACAGATTATCCATTATATTGACGAGATACTAAAGTAGCTGCTTTTACGATTTTTAAAAAATCCTTAAAAAATGAAAGACATCCGGGAGGAGGCACGAGCAGGTGGGACCATTCTAGCCAATGAGAGGGCAGATACGCGTGTGAAAAACAAGTTTTTGTTAGTTTTTTAAGTTATCGGGATGTCACGTGTCCTACTTATATCAGTATATTTGTAACAACCTAAGAATTACAAAACTTATATTCGATCCAATAAGCCATTCATTTTGGGCTCAGTTATCCCTCTCGCTTTGCCTCTTTCTCTCTGGACTTGAATAGAAGAGTACAGCTACGACCAGAAATGACTTTTCGTAGCAGGTTAGGAGAGCGTTGGAGCTAACCCTAACCGGTTTCCTAACCTTAACATAAGCCTCTTAATTCCACGTTAATTATCCTAACCTGCTACGAAAAAGTCACCTTCTGTCGTAGCTGTACTTCCTCTAGTTTAGAACCGGCAGGAACTGGGTCATGGTTAGAAGGGATCCAGCTTTTGTCAAATTAACGTCAGATTTGACTTTTCGTAGCAAGTTGGGAGAATTAACGTAGCAGGTTAGGAGAAATAGGTTAAGATTAGGAAAATGGTTAGGGTTAGCTAAAATGCAAAAAACGACCCAGGTACAGCGGGCAGGAAGCCTGTGCATTTTCATAGTAGGAAAATAACAAACGACTTAAATCAATGGGGGTGATTTGGTGAGATCTATTGTTTGCTTTTGTTGCTTTCTTATAAAACTTATGAAATATCAATAGTTAGCTAGCTACATAACTTCTCACACCTGGTCTCTTACATGGTCCAAGATCCCATGTGGAAAAACCAGTGATGTATAAGGAATATGAATTAATTGAATTCTACAGTATTTCAATTAAATGCTTCAAGGACAAAATTACATGTATTTAAGTATTATTTTCTTGTAGTGGGGACAGTAACATTAGCAATCTCTAAAAAATTATACTTTAAAGAAAATGTTTTTATATATTTAAAATGTTTATGTTTAGCTCACATAATATAATTTAAAAGTAAGTATGCATTAATGTGTCTGTAATAGAATAAACGTGGCAAAAACGAATGTAGATCTTAATAAATTCCTTTCTATAGCTTCCAAAATACTTTTTACAATGGTGGGGGAGTGCCAAAATGGAGGCGCTGTGGCTTCAACACAGAGCCCCCTATTAGTCATCTATTGTATATGTAAATCATTGGGATCAATAGGCAACAATGCACAATTAGTTTACCTGTCACCTGGTTGATTTCCTCCAAGCTTCCTCTCATCTTACATCACCATTCAGATCTGACATTGTTTCAATATCTGATTTTTAATGCTGAACAATATCTTAATGTTATTAACATTTATACTCTGTGTGCTGTATCCCATGCTTAGTGTGTTTTAGGTGCCTTTGGCAGAGGGAAAGAGTGTGCAACAGACAATATAAATTTTGCACAAGAAGTTGGAGCAGTTGGGTGACGTGAAGCAGGAAATATTTACTGTGGACTGTGAGACTTTACCAGCAGTGACTAAAGTTGTACTGCAAAGCTATGACATAAACATGTAATTCATCAGACTACATCCTTCAACTACCCACAACAGCCACCTAATCTTTATTTTCTCTCTCTTTCTCTCTGTTTGTCACAGGCCAGCCCAACAAACTCTTGTATGTGATGCATAACTCAGAAACACCACTGAGCTGCTTAGCCCTGTTTGAAGGGGGTCCCTGCCTGACATGCTCATGATTAAGTTGAAGAGCCACTTCCAGAACGCCAAGGGGCAGAAGGTAGAGAGCTGTGGCTCCCGCTACCGCTATTGTGATTTCCTGATAAAGGTTGGCGCGGTAAAAATGTGCTCCAGTGCGAGGGTCATTTCAGTAGAGGTGAGTGGTCTGTACAGCGAATGAACACAAAGGAGGGTAAAGGGGATGTTCGATCTGTCTCACTTTTTCTAAACTGACATCCACAATCAAATCTATGTGTGTTTGTTTGGGTAGAGTACTGCCCCTGTGTGGTCCATGGGGACTGCTGGAACCTGATGAAAGAGTTTATGCAAAGCTTCCTTTTTGCCCAGCATCCCGGAGCCGCCCTCTGTGTTTGCCACCAAGCCTGAGGGCCTTTATGCGCCAGCGGACTGTGTTGACACCATGAACTGAAGTTGTTCAGCAAAGTGCGCAAACAGCAGGAGCTCCCAGGGACCACACTTTGTCACATGCTTCATAGACAACAGGTGTAGACTAACAGTGAAATACTTACTTACGGGTCCTTTTCCAACAATGCAGAGTTAAAGATAAGAAGAAAAAAATAATAATACACAGTGAATAACTAATAAAAATAATGAGTAAAAATACCATGGCTATACACTGAGTGTACAAAGCATTAACGTACATAGCTACCTCAATTAGCGAAATGCTTGTCATACTCACCACATACGCTGCTGTTATTCACTTTACCCCTACCGATATGTACAGTACATAGCTACCTCAATTACCATGTACCCCTGCATATGACAAGCATTTCGCTACACCTGCAATAACATCTGCTAAACACGTGTATGTGACAAATACAATTTGATTTGATTTGATTTGAAACTGTGAGTGTGGTGTCAGTATGTAATGTGTGGGGTGGTAGGTAGCCTAGTGGTTAAGAGCGTTGGATCAGTAACTGAAAGGTCTCTGGTTTGAATCCCTGAGCCGACTAGGTGAAAAATCTGTCCATGTGCCCTTGACCAAGGCACTTCACCATAATTGCTCCTGTCTACTAAAGTGTGGGTAGAGTCCAGTGTGTGCATAGTCAGAGTAAGTGCAAAAAAGGGTAAGTTGTCATACCAAGCGGTGATGCAGCCAGTCACCACCTGGGGGCGGCCCGTCAGGAAGTCCAGGATCCAGTTGCAGAGGGAGGTGTTCAGTCCCAGGGACCTTAGTGACAAAGATTGTTATAACTAAATTAAGATAGACCACAGCTTGTCGTTTCCAATGGGAACAAATGAGTCATAGTGGGCAGAACAAGCAAGGAGGTGGGCAGAGCCAAGCACGCACTAGCGATATCCTATTGGCGAGTTCTAGTATGCATCTAAGTATTTCCGTTAGGGAACACCTACTCTGTGAAGTGCGCATGTGCAATAACGCCATATTTGGGAGTGAGTGGAAACGCCAACCGGATGCTTCACATGTATACATCCAGTGAAATATCAGTCTCATTGTTCTATCTGTGTTAGTGATGCGCTTCGGAGGGCGCGATGGTGTTGAACGCTGAGCTGTAGTCAATGAACGGCATTCTCACGCAGCTGTCCGTTTTGTCCAAGTGGGAAAGGGCAGTGTGGAGTGCAATAGTGATTGCATCATCTGTGGATATGTTGGGGCGGTATGCGAATTGGAGTGGGTCTGGGATGATGGTGTTGATGTGAGCCATGACCAGCTTTTCAAAGCATTTCATGGCTACAGATGTTTGTGCTACAAGCTATAGTCATTTACACAGGCTAACTTGGCAGCAGGAAAGGTATGTACTGAGCGTTAGTACAGCAACTCAAACGGATCAAAGGCTTTCACAACCACTGCAAGGACACTGTGTTAACAAACCTCCAAACGAGCTTCAATGCCATACAACAATCCTTCAGTAGCCTCCAACTGCTCTTAAACACTAGTAAAACTAAATGCATGCTTTTCAATCGAACGCTGCTGGCACCCGCCCACCCGACTAGAATCACCACTCTCGACGGGTCTGACCTAGAGTATGTGGACAACTACAAATACCTAGGTGTCTGGTTAGACTGTAAACTCAACTTCCAGACTCACATAAAGAATCTCCAATCCAAAGTTAAATCTAGAATCGGCTTCCTATTTCGCAATAAAGCCTCCTTCACTCATGCTGCCAAACATGCCCTCGTAAAACTGACTATCCTACCGATCCTTGACTTCGGCGATGTAATTTACAAAATAGCCTCCAACACTCTACTCAGCAAATTGGATGTAGTCTATCACAGTGCCATCCGTTTTGTCTCCAAAGCCCCATACACTACCCACCACTGTGACCTGTACGCTCTTGTTGGCTGGTCCTCACTACATGTTCGTCGTCAAACCCACTGGCTCCAGGCCATCTATAAATCACTGCTAGGCAAATCCCCGCCTTACCTTAGCTCATTGGTCACCATAGCAGCACCCACCCGTAGTCTGCGCTCCAGCAGGTATATCTCACTGGTCATTCCCAAAGCCAACACCTCCTTTGGCCGCCATTCCTTCCAGTTCTCTGCTGCCAATGACTGGAACGAATTGCAAAAATTTCTGAAGCTGGAGACTCTTATCTCCCTCAATAACTTTAAGCATCAGTTGTCAGAGCACCTTACCGATCACTGCACCTGTACACAGCCCATCCGAAATTAGCCCACCCAACTACCTCATCCCTATATTGT